TCAGCAGGGTGTTGTTCAGTTTCCATGTATGTGTCTTGATTTCCTTGGTTTTTCTATTGTTGATTTCTAATTTGATAGCATTGTGGTCTGAGAAGATGCTTTGTAGTACCTTGATATTTGTAAATTCATGGAGACTTGTTTTGTGGCCTAAAACATGGTGTATTCTGGAGAATGTTCCATGTGCACTTGAAAAGAATGTGTATTGTGTAGTTGTTGGGTTGAATGCTCTGTATACATCTATAAAGTCCAGTTGGTTTATTGTGTTGTTTAGTTCTTCTGTGTCTTTGTTAAGTTTCTTTCTGGTTGTTTTATCCATTTTTGAAAGTGGTATATTAAAGTCACCCACTATTATTGTGGATTCATCTATTTCTGTCTTCAAATCTATGAGTTTGTTTTAGATATTTTGGCGCTCTTTCTTTGGGAGCATAGATATTTAATATGATTATTTCATTTTGTTCAGTTGTCCCTTTAATCATGAGATAATGTCCATCCTTATCTATTATGCTGGCTTTTGCCTTAAAGTTTATTTTATCTGCGATTAGCACTGCCACTCCTGTTGCCTTTTATTGCAGTTAACTTGGTATATTTTTTCCCATCCTTTCACTTTTAGTCTGTATCTGTCTCTGTGTGTGAGATGAGTCTCTTTCAGACAGCATTTTTTTTTTTTTGTAGGAAAAAAATGGTTTTGTACATAGGATAAAACTTAATATAAATTCAAATCCAGTCAAAACCACAGGGCAGCTCTCTTTGAAATGTGTTCCGTAGAATTTCTAAGTAGACCACAGGGCTGCTGTCTTGGAATGTCCTCAGAAGGCTCTGTCATAATCTGGTAACAGAGTAAAAACCCCTGAGTCCTTGCTTTCAAATGGAAGAGGGAAAAGATAGGGATAGAAGATCTATTCAAACTTCGTCTTCTTTCCTTGTGGCTTGTGATCTCTTCCTCCTCCTCTGCCTCTCTGGAAGCCTCCTCTCCCTCCAAATCCTCCCCGGCCTCCTCTGCCATGGTCACCTCTGCCTCCAAATCCTCCTCGGCCTCCACCTCGTACGCCAAAGCCACCTTCACCCTTAGGCTTGGCCCAGTCCAAGGTAACTTTGTTTCCGTCAATTTCCCCGTCCTCCATGTCCTCCTTGGCGGCTTTAGCATCTTCTTCACTATTGAAGTCTACAAACTCAAACCCTTTGGAGGAGCCAGTTTCCCGGTCTGTGACTGTCCTGGCACGAACAGACCCATCAAACGACTCCTTCAATATTTCCTCAGTTGTGTCCTCAGACAAACCTTTGACAAACAGTGCTTTGGACAGCTGGCTTCTCGCATTAGGGGATCCCCTGGATCCTTGCAATTCCAGCCTGATGGCTCTGCCTTCAATGTCTCTTTTATTATAAGAATTTAAAGCTTCTTTAGCATCTTCACATGAAGCAAATTCTATAAATGCATACCCTCTAGATTTGCCATTCTGGTTCTGAGGCACCTTGATAGCAGTTGCCTTCTCAAATACTTCCTGGAGAGTTTCTTCTGTTGCACTGTAGGAGAGGTTACTTAAAACCAGTGTTTTTGATTCACCGCTCCATGTGCTGCTCTTCCCACCTCTGTGCTCTGGATTTTGACCTTTCTCCTCTGTGTAGTACAAGGATATAGAACGGCCATCAATCTCTGTTCCTTGCTTTTCTTCAAAGGGTTTCTCAGCATCAGCTTCTGTTTTGAATTCAAGATAAGCAATCCCATTACTCTTTTCATCTTTGCTGACTAATCTGATCTCCAGGGCATTTTCAAACACTTCTTTTAATTCATCCTGAGTGACTTTGTAAGGCAAGTTTTTGGCCAAAACTGTTCTGGCATCTCGGTCTTTCTTACTGTCTTTTCCTTTTGGTCTCTCTAGTTTAATTTCATTACCAAATACCTTTAAACCAGTGAGTCCCAAGGCTTTTTCCCGGTCTTCAGCAGATTCAAAATCCACATAGCCAAATTTCCTAGTCATACCAATTCTGACATCCATTACAACGAGATCATTTTTAGCAAAAAGGTCACTGCGACCAGTTTTTAATTCTGGAGCAGACTTGTTACAATTCAGGTTTCCAACAAATAGATTGAAAGCTGTAGTTGGTTCTACAGCTTCCACTTTCTGCTTCTTGGCTTCAGGAGCAGCTTTCTGTTTGGCCATTTCCTTCTTTCGTTTTCCAGGTACTTCTTTGACAGGTTCTTCCTCCTCTTCCTCCTCTTCATCGTCATCCTCATCTTCCTCGTCGTCGTCCTCTTCCTCATCATCATCGTGCAGACAGCATATTGAAGAATCTTGTTTTTTTTTATCAATTCTGCCACCCTCTATCTCTTAACAGGTGAATTCAATCCATTTACTTTCAGTGTGATTATCGATAGGTATTGATTATTTGTTGCCATATATCCTTTTTTTGTGGTGTTGCTGCTTCTTTGTTCTGTTTGTCTTTCTCTGTTGAATTCATGATTTGTGTGCTCTTTCTTGTGCGTTTCCTTATAGTTTTAATGTTTTCATATTCTTCTTGGATTCTCATTCTCTTGCTATGCTGTGAGGTGTTAATTTTCTTTGAGGTTGCCTTATGGTCCATTGAATTCTCTGTCCTTATAGTGCAGTCTATTTTATCCTGTAATCTACCTGACCTTCTCATTGTCTGGATCTCTGTTCCTATGTGTTCACCTTCTTTTGCATTGTACTTGTTTTGGTCATAGACTGCCCTCCCAGAGTCTCTCAGTTTGTTCTCATAGTTTTGTTTTGTTAACATTTCTTCTTTCTGTTGACTTAATTCAGGGAGGTGCTGCCATGTACGTCAATCTCTGGTTGTCTGTTCTTATTGGTTCTCGGTCCACAGAACTCCCTTTAGGATGTTTTGTAGTGCAGGGTTGGATTTGGTGAAATCCCATAGCTTTTGTTTATCCTGGAATGTTTTGATTACACCCTCGTATTTGATTGATAGCTTTGCTGGATAAAGGATTCTTGGTTGGCAATTTTTTTCTTGCGGGGTTTTATATATGTCTTCCCATTGCCTTCTCACTTGCATGGTTCCTGCTGAGAGGTCTGAGCTTAGTCTGACTTGTTTACCCTTGTATGTGACCCCTCTGTTTTCTCTGGCTGCTTTCAGGAGTGTCTCCTTGTCTTTGAGTTTGGAGAGCTTGACTATGATATGTCTTGGTGATTTTCTTTTGGGGTGCACCCTTCCTGGACTTCATTGGGTTCTTGACTATCATATGTGCATATTATGAGAGAGTTTTAAGAAAACTGAAGACTTCATTGGTGAGAAAAAAGGCCAGGAAAGTTGTGTTTAGGAATTTGTTTCCATTACGACAATGCACTTCATCCTTCAAGGGTAGCAAGGTCTGTCCTACAAATAGGTTTCATTGGGAAACTTTACCTTATCCACTTGACAGCCCTAATCTTACCAATTCAGACTTCTTTTTGTTACCCAAACTCAATGAAAATTGAAAAGGAACACAATTTGAGTCCCTGGAGAATGCCAAAATTGCTGCTTTGAAATGATGTAAATTGAAGAGGTTGGCGGTTCAAGCTCACCAGTCACTCCTTGGAAACCCTATACAGGGTTGCTATGGGTTGGAACCGCCTCGATGGCACTTTTTAACAACAAATTGAAAAGTATACAATTCTCTAGAGGAAGGGTTAGAGAGATGGAAACCTCTTCAGAAGTGTTTAGACCTAGATGGAGGAAATGTCTAAGAACAACAGTCTCTCATATTTTGTTATTTTCATTGTTTTGATTAGAATCTCTCTGATGGCAAATGATGCTGAACATCTTATTATGTGTTTGGTGTCATCTTTGGTGATGTCTGTTCAGGTGCTTGGCCCACTTTATGATTGTGTTATTTGTCTTCTTTTATAACATTTTTGAAATTTTATATATATTTTAATTGTTAAGTTTTGTTAGATGTATTTTTTCCAGAGATATTCTTCCACTCAATAGCTTGTCTTTTCTTTCGCTTCTTTGATAAAGTCTCTTTTTAAAACTTTTACTAATATAGTGTTTGTCTTCCCTCTGTCAAAACCTGAGCCAATTACTTTCCCCCAGCTGCCTGGGGAGGTACTGGGAAAGGAACGAACGTACAGGACAGATGAGACATGGGAAAAAGAGCTGTGGGAAGTGGAGACGACTTCTTCATATGGTGAAGACGATGAGAAAGGCCACCATCATATAAAAGAGCCCTATGGCCTCCAAGAGGGCAAAGCCCAGAATGGCACAGGAGAGGAAGCTGCTGCTTCAGAGAAGTGTTCCTGCATAACCAATGATAAGTCTCCCAAACACAGTTCTAATCCCATCTCCACAGCCAACCACTCCAACTGTGGCAGCCTGTGTCAGTGTCCCATGAAATGGTGCTAGTTTGGAAGATTTAACTAGGAATAAATGAGGTCAGGGAACATGGGGCTGTCACGCTTCTGAAACTCTTTTATCTGTCAGTGTCGGTTTGTTTCAGCACCACTGCAGACAGGTGCTTCTGACCATGGAAGTGGTGGTAACGAATTTGGTTCAGGGGTACATTTACAGGGCATGAGGGGCTGTAGCAGGAAAGTTGCTCCTAGTGCTGGGAAGATAGAATGATAAAGTCTTTTGATGAACAAAAGTTTTTAGATTTTATGAAGTGTCTCACTGGTTTATTCCCTCAGTTTCTGTCAGTTGTCATACTGTGGTGGCTTACATATCACCGTGGTTTTGGAAGCTATGCCACTGGTATTTTAAATACTAGTAGGGTCACACATGGTGGACAGGTTTCAGGAGAGCTTCCAGAATTTCTTGATTAGGAAGAAGGAGAGGCAGATTACATGAGTGTTTAGCCACTGAAAACCTATGAGTCACAGCAGAATACTGTCAAATATAGTGCTCAAAGATGAAAACAGGTGTGTGTGGCGCTGTGGAATGCAATCGACTGCAAAGTCGGTTTGAATTGTAAGGTCAGAGGTTCAAACTCACCAGCTGCTCCTTAGAAACAGGGTCTCTGTGGGTTGGAACCGACTTGATGATACTTAACAACAATAATAGCACTAGATTTTTGTCAGACATAGTGCCAGAAGATGAGTCCTTCAGGTTAAAAGACTCAAAATGCGACCAGGAAAGAGCTGCTTATTCCAAGTAGAGTTGATTGTGGTGGCATGAATAGAGTAAAGCTTTCAGGACTTTCATTAGTTGATTGGAAATGATTCAAAATGAAGAGAAACAGCTGTAAACATCTATACATAATTAGAACATGGAATGTGGTGGTGGTGTGTCGTGGAGTCGGTTCTGACTCATAGTGACCCTGTATAGGGTTTCCAAGGCTGTAAATCTTTACTGAAGTAGTTGCAAAAACTGAATGGAATGTATAAAGATCAATATTCTAGATATTAGTGAGTTGATATGGATGAGTATTGGCCATTTTGAATCTGACAGTCATATGATTTACTATGTCAGGAACCACAAATTCAAGAGGAATGATGTAGCATTCATCATCCAAAAGAAAATTTTGTAATCTATCTTGAAATACAACACTATCTGTAATAGGATAATATCCACATGCCTACAAGGAAGACGAGTTAATACACTGTTCATTCAAATTTACGCACCAACCAGTAAAGTCAGTGGTAATGAAATTGAAGAATTCTACCAACTTCTTAAGTCTGAAATTGATTAAACATGAGATCAAGATTTATTGATAATTACTGATGATTGGATTTGGAAGGTTGGAAACAAAAAAGAAGGATTGAAAGTTGGAAAATATGGCCTTGGTTGTAGAAATGATGCTGGAGATTCCATCATAGGATTTTTAAATGATAAAATGGGTATTATTTTATTTATTTAATATTTATAAATCAGCCAGCCATACTGGTACTATTCTCACCATAATGCAGCCAAATATAAAACAAACATCTTTCTACAAATATTCAAATAATGAACACAAATATTCAAATAATTAAAACAGTGAACGATGGAGAAACTCAATAGAAGCACCTTTATAAACCTGACTCTTCACTTTAAATTGTCTATTAATCAGCCTTCCAAATCCTATAAAATACAAATAATCCTTCATCGCACATCTTTATACTTGGAAGTTCTTATTGAGGCTGGAGCCTCAAGGTATCCAAGGTATCATATATAGTTAGTTATCTATACTCAGTGATAGCCTTTCCCATGCTGTGCAGAGTAGTCAAGCTAATCTTTCAGGGGCTATTATGGAAACCTGGATCATATCTCCCTCTTAATCTATACAGTGGGAGTCCTTGTGTGGCACTACGGGTTAATGCGCTGGTAGACTGCAAGGTCAGTTTAAACCACAAGGTCAATGGTTGATGCTCACCAACTGCTCCTCGGAAACCCTACACAGGGTTACTATGAGTTGGAACCAGCTGTACCTAATAACAACACAATAGTCACAATGAAAACCAGGATATCAAGGCAGAGATACATAGTTCTGAAACAAAAAATGCTACAAGGAAGGAAGTAATACAACTATTGCCCAGATTGACATAGAATTCTGTGCCTTCTTCATACCTCTTCAGGTTGTATGTTCATGGAGTCATTTAGAAATAAATCTATGATTTGTGAGGTCTCCAAATCACTGGCAGAATTTTGCTGGAACTGGGGCAATAGGAATTCCTCTCCACAGTTCTGCAACTGGTTGTTCTAGGTCTGATTGTTCCAGGTCTGGTTGCTCCAAGCCTGGCTGTTCCAGCTCTGGTTGCTCCACATTGCAAAGTTTCCAGAAGGAAGGCATCCCTGGTGATTAGGAAGTGTAGAAGTCCAGGTATTCAGCAGACGCATAGACCTTCTGAGCCATAACATTGTTACTGTTTGGCCGTTTGGTGTTTTTCTGACACCTCTTAAATTTCATTCTTTGGTTTTGGAACCAGGTCTTAACTTGTTTGTAGCTAAGGTTCAGGACTTCAAAAAGTTCTTGCATCTGCTGGAGGCTGAGGTAATTATGTTTCTGGAATCTGTCTTTGAGTATGCACAGCTCTATTTGAGAGAACACAGTTCTGACCTTCTGTTTCTTTCCCTGGCCTTTACCTTCCTTCTTCGCTGTTCTGTTTTCTATAGAAGTGGGCAGTTTTACTTTGGGACTGGTGGAAGAATCAGGACTATCTTGAATAAGCAGATCAGTCTCTGAATAGAATGCTTCTGCAGATGACATTTACAAGGATGTATAATTTTCTTCAGCTTCCAAAATCGTTGATAATGGTGAAGAGTCCCTAGACTCACAAGCCTCAGGCAGGTTTTGGGAAGAAGCTAGATCCACACTCATGTTGTTGAGTAGAAGGGAGGGGGGAAAAAATCAAAGACCTAGACTGAGAAAATCCAAGTCAAACTGAAAAGTGTTTTGAGTGGGTAATCTGAAAATCTTCAAATGAAGTGAAGGTAACTGTCTCAATAGCAACAGGAGACCAGCTCCGTCATAGAATTTTATAAAACTGTCTTATTTGGAGTCCTGG